CTCGGCAAATGCGAAATGTTGGCTGTTGCATTTATTTAAGAATGGAGGAAGTATAATACCAAGGAATCTGGATGAACCATATACTCTGTATATAAACAAACGGTACCTTATTCGGTTTGAACTATTTATTTCACACTGTGTTAAATCGAACCGAATCAAAATCGAGAAAATCTTAATATAGTCTTTTTTTGGAAGAGGGGGGCTTAAATTGATATCATAGCATTAACATTCAGAAAGGGAGTAAAAAGAGTGAAGAGTCACATACAACCGTCAGCCCGCAAACCAGACTTGGAGTTAATCACCTTCAAACAAGCAATATAACTCGTTGATCCATTAATGGGCAAATCTGAGCCACAAACGATTGAAGCAGACCAAAACTCACCCAAACCTAATGCAAGAGTCTTACAATTGAAAAAAATAACAAAAAAAAAAACATAGTCTGATCAACAACAACCAAAATAAAAATAGCAGTAAAATAATTATTCTTCTCTAAAGCCATGAGCATCTCCACCGACGCCTCCCTTGATCTTCTCGGCCACTCAACGTAAATCGGCGGACTTACAGGAGGTCTGCCTCCGCTCCGTTTTTTGTCCGTCTAGTGTCATGCCTTCACCTGTAGCAGCTTTCTGTTTCCCTTCCTCCCATGTCCTTCTTCGCTTAGGTTCCCCCGAGTTCTCCTCTGGACTAACTGAGTTCCCTTCCTTGATAGAGCTAGTTCTAGTGTCTGTAGTCTCCTTCCAGTCCTGCCTATCAGTATCCTGTCCATCTGACATCCCCACCCCAGTACTGGAGGACCCTTCAACCAACCACTTTGTACCCCATGTAGGACTGATCTTCATCCCGATCCCAGCTCTAAGATTCACTCCATAGTTTTTATCAAAAGTGATATTCTTCCCCTCATATACTACCGGACAAAACTTATCAGAATGTTCAATAATACCACAAACAAAACAGAAATTTGAGAGTTTTTCATACTTGAAATCCACCCACCCTTTTTAACATCGCACCTTTTTCAGGGGTCTCCTAACATCCATATGAACCCTAATTCTCAAATATGATTTCCAATTTTCATCAGATTTTTTATCATCAAAATTAATAAATTTTTGAATATAATTACCAATATGTCTAGCGCACCCCAGATTCATAAAGCCACAAGCAGCATTGCGCACATGCACCCAAAAATCAGCCTCATAAAGTTTGATTCGCAAAGGAATATCCTCTGCCTGAATCTGTTTTAGCAAGGGAGAAGGGCCAAAAAGGACACTAACGTTGTTAATGAATCTCGGATTGGACACTTAGGTTTTTACTAGATCAAATAAACACATATTAAAGCTTTTTCTTTCATTTTGAGCCATCCACTAACTTTCCGTTAAACGGGCGTTTCCCAGCAACCAGCCACGCTCATGGACTCAACAGTCTCCACCCCGGTTTCTCATCCGCCAGAACCCAGAAATCGAACAAAATCGCCTTCAAGGCACTCTAAATTCCGTCGAGTCGATGTTGCTGCTAAGTATCCCCTTCCGTCCCAAACCAAGAGCCATTATCAGAGAATGTTGAAATGGGTGATAATTGTGCAGAACCAGTTTCTTCAGGAGCAAGAATGTTTCTTCAGTTTGTGTCACTCTGAGGAATGCCAGAAGACCTAGAAAGCGATTAGATCAGGAAATTGTGAGAGAGGAAAAAGATTATGGGGTAGGAGAGGAGGTGATTATTAAGCCTAGAAAGAAGAGGCAAATTGCCAGATCAAAGAAAGATAAGCTCGCCTTAGTTCCTTCAGTGCCTTCTCTAAGAGAAGAAGAAGGGGTTAATCTGGACAGGTATGAGAAGCTGATAAGTAATGTTTTTATGTGGAGAGATGTTGCAAAATCAAGTCTTTGGTTTGGTTTTGGGTCTCTCTGCTTCTTATCTTCCTGTTTTGCAAGTGGAATTAACTTTAACATTTTCTCTGTTATGTCTCAAATGGGACTTCTCCTCTTGGCTTTGTCATTCATCTTGAATACTCTCCGGCCAAGAGAAATTGTTGAAACTAAAATGAAGCTGAAAGAAGATGACATTTTGAGAATGGGTAAATTCATTCTCCCAACAGTGCAATTTCAATAGCAGGAGATGTGTTTTCTGGAGAACCAGCCATGACCCTTAAAGTAGTGTCATTCTTGATGGTTGGAGCTGAATATGAAAATCACCTAACTATATGGAGGCTTTTTGCACTTGGGTTTTCAATAGCTTCACTGCTCCAATATTATATTCATCTTACTCTAACCAAATACAAAGAAAAGGAGAGTGCATTAGAGGTTGGGTGATGGAAGCCTGGTGTGCTTGCTCCCACAAGAAGATCATAGCAGTATCAGTATTTTCACCCGCATTTTTGTAGCATTCATATGCCTTGCAATGATCAGATATTATACAATTAATTCCGTAGAAAAGGTTGAAGAAGTGGTAGAACAAGAGGCACAAGAGCATGAAAATCAAGAACAAGAGAATGATCAAAAGGAGTTGATTGATTGCATTAAGTGTGAAGCCCATAAATAACTATATTTTTGCAGAGAGGAATTCGATCGTAATTTGCTTCTTACATTTATGAAAATATATCCATGTTTTCTTCCCGCCCAACGCCTAGGCGGGGACTAATCAGAGACATCGAAATTGTAGTTTTATCAATATTTTTGCATAAATATGATTAGTAATGTTGTGTTTGTGTATGTATAAAAAAAATTAGAAAAAAAATCCATGTTTGCTTCTACCACAAGAAAAGCAAATTTGAAACACCAAATCATTATCTAGACTGAAATCCTTCATCTTAGTTATCTCAGTATGGATTTTGTCTCTGATTTCTTTTGAAACTTTCTTGCCGTCAATAATAATGGAAGCGAACTCCGAAGTGAATGAAGTTGTTGTGGCTATGGAAGAGCAACACAAAGCTGCGATGGTGGTAGCGGAGTTCGAAGCGAAATAAGAAGAATCTATGCAAGTGGTGGTGATGGTCCTCTGGCGAGATACAGAGCCCATCGAGAAATGAAGGTGGCCGGAGGGAAGGAAGCGAGCTGCAGTGGTTGAAGAAGACGAAGAGGAGTCGGCGGCAACTGTCGCTTTCCTAATAAGCGCCGCCACAAATGAGGTCGTCGGCGAGGCCATGCTGATTACCACGCTCCGCCAGCACTGGTCGTGTCCCTTGCTGCCCGTCGACTTCCGTCTTTCAGTTTTCCTTCATCTCTAGGTTGTGTGTTGTTTAATCTCAGGGAATGGCGTCTTGTTAGCAGGGGAAACGCACGTTTAAGGGCAAAGTTAATGGATGGCTAAAAATGAAGGCAAAAGCTTTCATATGTGTTTATTTGGTCTAGTAAAAACCTAAGTGTCCAATCCGAGATTCATTAAAAAGCTTAGTGTCATTTTTTTCCCTTCTCCCTTTTAGCAACAATAAATTTCGTTCAAATAGCCATGGTCCTTCATCCAGGGCACGCCTCATGTCTAATATGTGATAAAAAGTAAAGATATATCTTTTGTTACCGATTTCCTGGATTGAAACACCTTTAACAGGTCTCCACAACGAGGCCATCAATTCTTTAAAGAACTGAAATTTAATCTTGCGGATCAGTCAGAATCAAGCCTACCACTGGGAAATTTTCCGAGCTATTGCTTGATTCCTCATCCTCCTCTTCCTCGTCAAATATTACCTCCTCCTTATCATCCCCAATTGCCATTTGTTTATACTGGTGAACTACGTCTTCCATTGAAATCTGCTTCCTTGCTATTGTCGGACAATGAACCCCACGGCCAGAAAAATGCCAAAGTAGCAGCAAGGACCTCGCTTGACTCCACCGTAGAACGAAAGCGATCTTCTGTTGATAGAGATCGCCGAGAAGAACCAGGCGACCATCCTTCGAAAAATTAAAGACGGAAAAAGGCTCTAGCGGCTACAGGAGCCCTAATATAATACCTACTTGATGGTGGAATTAAGATAACATGAAGAAATAAGAAAAAACATATAAAAAAGTAACAAGAAGAAAAAAGTGAGAAAGTGAAAATAAAAAAGAAAGTATAACGAAAAGTAGAGTGGGGAAAAATATCTTTTATAAGAAGAGAATGATTAAAACGAGAAACAGAAAAAAGTAAATGAAATAAAAATACGAGAAGACATAGAAAATGACAAAAGATGTATTTGGGAAGGAAATTTAACAAAAAAATAACTCTCTTAATAGAGTAAGAAATAAAATAATAAAAATGGAAAAGAAATAAGAACAATAGGAAAGAAAAAGAGATAAAAATGTCTAGGGATGAAAATAAAGAAAACAACAAATTTAGGGAGAAAAAAGGAAAAATGAAAAGTGAGACCTTTTGAGCAGATTTGCCAAAGGTCGGATTATTTATGTAAGAGTTTGAAAGAAACGATAAAAAACCTTGTATAGTACTACCTCCGTCCATTAAAAATTTGCCAAGTTTAACCGGCACAGGGATTAATAAAGTAAAAACTGTGTGGTCAAGGTTTGTGCAGAGGAGAAAGAATTAACTGCAACCACAAATTCTTTACTTAAAAGGGAAAGTGTCAAAGTTAATGCGACATCCAAAAAAGAGAAAGTTGTCAAAGTTTTAAGGGATGGAGACAGTCATAGATCGGTCAGGGTCCATTGTGACACAACAGTGACATTATTTTGAAATTACGTAAAAGTAACACTATTATGAAAAAACCAACCAAAGATTAGATTATTCTTGTAAAAATTTCCTTTGACAAGAATTCATTTGAATGCCTTCCTGATTGAAGCTTTAGTTGAAATTTGCTATGAGTAAACTAGACTTAATGAATAAGATACTCACAAAATTGCATCAAAAAATTCCACCGGGAATCACCCCAAATGGCGACGGCCGGACAGAGCCTCCTAAATAAGGGTCTATTTGCACCTTTTCCCTTTTTTTTTTAATAATAATAAAATAAAACCTCTGCCACACTCCTTAGGATTGACGCGTGTCTTGTATGAGCAAAAGTTGTGTACTTGTGCGTTCACCTATCGTCTTCTCTACATTTCTGTTGTGCCTCCTCTGTCACACTCCCATAACCGCCATTCTTCTTGTCTGCCTCGTAATTAACGACAGACCAACTTTTTTCCCCTCTCCCTATATACATATACGAAGTACATCTCTGTAAAAAAGCAACTCAACACTCACTCTGTCCATCTGCATTCACTCTGCTCCTCGTGTCTTTTTCACAATGTCGACGATCAATTTCCCGGCAGGATCATACGCGATGAAAGCCGACCCGACCCGATCATACGGTCGCCTCTCATCGGCCAGAAGCATCTGCAGAGATCACTCGTTGTTCTCCCTTTGTCCCGATACCAGAAAACGAGTGCCTATTCGGTATCGAATTCAGCCCGTGCGTTCTCAAGGCGTAAATTCGAAAGCTAACGCTGAATTGTCCTCACTTAACGGTGCTGCTTCCTCTGTAAGTCCCGGCATATCTCTATATTCCCACATTAGCACGGAAAGAGTGCCTTTTCATTTCAAAACTCTTTATAAACTCCCGAAACTTCTTTTGAGCAAAAGCAAAAGTTGACCTTTCTCATCATTTTCTATGTTTCCGTGCAACATAGACGTCCAGGTGATTTGTGTTTCGTAAAATGGCTGTTTTTTTTCCTTGTTTTTATGGTAATTTGCACCCGGCATATTCGAATTCTCTGTTTAGTTGCCTCAAAATTTATAAGTATTTTCTCCCTACAGAAGTAATCAATTGATAAACAAATAAACAATGATCATTGACTGCTCTGTTTTTTTTATGTTTGTTTATCATTTATGAAGTTTTTTATTTTCATTTCCTCTTTTATGGTAAGCCCCCCAATAAAAACATGACAACATTTGTAATCCTGTTCGTTTCAGTCAGGTGAGCGAAGTTTGCAGCCAGGAAATGTGCATCTGAATGGTCAAAGGAAAACGAAGATAGTTTGCACCATTGGTCCTTCAACAAGCTCACCTGAGATGATATGGAAACTGGCAGATGCTGGAATGAATGTTGCACGCCTAAACATGTCTCATGGGGACCATGCTTCACATCAGAAAACCATTGACATTGTTAAGGAATATAATGCACAGTTTGATAACAAGGTTATTGCCATAATGCTAGATACAAAGGTACATCTATGTTCTTTGTGGAATTGTAACTGTAAAATAGAGTAATTCTATTTTGGAGCTTCTTTTTTTATTACATACAAACGTCTTCTCTCCATGAGGACGTTTTACACTGCACTTGTAACTCAAGTTTCTAGACAATGCGGGCAAAACTTGATAGTCTTTGCATGCATAAACTCTTCGCCACATTCATATACAGTTTAACACATAAAGCAATGTCCTTTATTGCATATATTCAATGGTGATCTATCTGGCTAGTCTTTTTATTTATGAAATTATGTATATATAAACTTTTTCTTGCCCCACTGTTATGTAGATGTTTTCTCCTGTACAATCTTACTTGCAAGTTTTAATTCAGCATACACACACACACAAACACTATTGGAGATACTCTCAGAGGTGACTGTGCAATGCATAGGCTTTCCACATGAAAGAAACACCATACTTTCTTCTGGTGTCATAAGATTAACACAATAACACCTGAGTTCATTCTGCTGGTGTCTTGAATATAATTTATGCTTTGCTGTGTGTTTGAATTGCTAATTGTTTGTTTGCTTGTTCCTTCTATATTCTCAGCTGTTGGACCGATCATTGGTTTTAGAAAGACTTGCTCACACCTGCATTAGGCATTGATAGTTTTTATGTATTACTCAGGGACCTGAGGTGAGAAGTGGTGATGTGGCACAGCCAATTCAACTTAAGGAGGGTCAAGAGTTTAATTTTACTACAAAGGAAGGAGTGAGCACGGTTGACACTGTTAGTGTGAACTATACTGATTTCATAAATGATGTTGATGCTGGGGATATACTTCTTGTTGATGGTGACTTCACGCAAAACCTTTAACTGTTATACAATGATTATTATTACTCCGTATTAATTAAAGTTAATACTACTTTTATTATTTTGTTTTATCAGAAGCATCATTCGTATCATATTTGTCGTTATGGTCATCATTGGTAGAGTACTAGACCATAACATTCCAAGCTTCTGATCAAATGTTTCAGTAAACTGTGTGGATGACTGTGCGATCTTAAATTGATTGTTTAATTGTGATACATTAGAGCAACACTATCCAAGCCTTAGCCCCAAAAGAGTTTGGAGCTGGATAACATGAATTGACAAATGATAAAGGGAAAAAAGTAGACAAACAAAAACAGATCGATCTCCACACGTATACTCTCCTTTCCCTCCACTTCGCTCTCTCCAAAGTCACACTCTCATCAAACCCAATAATATCTGACAGGGGCTGGTTCATAAATCTAGGGACTGTGCTGAGAAGTAGGTTTATACTGGACTTAAATAATAGTAGGGTGGGCTAAGTAAATGATAAGATTGAAAAGGTTTACACTAAAACTTAAGAAAACTTAAAATAGTGGGTAAATATAGGATACTAGACTTAAATAATAGGGGTGTGGGCTAAATAAATGATAAAAAAGAAAAACATTGCACTAAATAACTTAAAATTGATACATTGTTTGAAGAAAATAAAATTGCAATCCATATACTCCCTCCGCCCCGCTATTAACTTCCTACTTTCCTTTTTGGGCCGTCCCAAAATAATCTTCTCATTTCCCTAAATGGAAAGTTATCCTACATCAAAACAGTGCAAAACAGTGCCAAACAATGTCTAAACAGTGCCAAACAGTGTCTAAACAGTGCCAAACAGTGTCTAAACAGTAAAGTCAAATTTATTTCCTAAATATGTGTGTAGGTCAAAGTAGGAATTTAATAGAGGGACGGAGGGAGTATTAAAATTTTTATTGTTACCTGGGCTCTTTATTTATAATTTCAGGTGGTATTTTGGTGATTATTTTAAGCTCTTTCCGAAACAGAATTAGAGATTTTTTTATATTCATTCAATATAAGCATTTGGTTGAGATCAACTGCAACAACCGACTTTACTCAGTGAAGAGATGTGGCAATGCTCTACAGGAGCCTTGCTCAACATTGACCTAACCCTGCTGATCTTGGGATGATGATTTTGTTTGATATTTACCCACGGACTGAGTCTGTGGACTCATTGAACTTTCAATATATATATTTCAAATTATATTATATTTAGTATGTGAATAATTTGTAGTTTCCTATTAAATGATTCCCCACTTTCGTTAATAAACTTCATCGATTGCACTATTTATAGATAAGTCCAGAATAATTGTAGTTCCCTGTAATAGGTGGAATGATCTCATTGGTTGTGGAATCAAAGACAAACAATTTGGTGAGATGTGAGGTCATTGATGGTGGAGAGCTAAAGTCAAGGCGACATTTGAATGTACGTGGGAAGAGTGCAACTTTGCCTTCAATAACAGGTCTGTTTTTCGTACACACCGAATTGCCAATAGCTAGTTCTATCTTTCTTGCTACTTAATTTCATATGATCATTCAACAGAGAAAGACTGGGAAGATATTAAGTTTGGTGTGAAGAATGAAGTTGATTTCTATGCTGTTTCTTTTGTGAAGGAGGCCAATGCAGTACATGAGCTGAAAGATTATCTAAAAAGTGAAGTGTCTTTTAATTTCTCACAAATTTGGACGCTTTATTGTAAAGTATTTCCATACGTTATTCACTTGATACTTGTGGATCTTTTTTTGCAGGCTGCAATGCTGATATTCATGTGATTGTAAAAATTGAAAGTGCTGATGCTATACCAAATCTTCACAGCATCCTTTCTGCTTCAGATGGAGTCTGTTTTCTTTATAAAAAAATCTTTTGCTAATGCTGCATGTATACACATATACTCATATATGCATACCCAAATACATATAATTCATTATTCTATTTTCTTATTTTAGGAAGAAATCTCTTGTGTTTGTATCCTTAGCACTGCATTATTTCTCTTCCATGAAAGACGAGTGTAAAAATATCTGATCTTAAAAGCAGAAAATAAGCAGTTTAGGCATTTTGGATCTATTGGAGTTTGTGAAATTCTCATCACTTTAACACACAATGAGGCATCCACCCCATTCTTTAGTATGTGTGTGTGTGTGTGTGTATATATACTCCGTATATCTGTTTGTGTGTTGTGTATATATGCATGTATCAATTTTGAGATTTAATCTCCTTTTCAAAATTTTGATTTGTCTGAATAATGTCATTGAAAATAGGCAATGGTTGCTCGAGGTGACCTTGGTTCTGAGCTCCCAATAGAGGAAGTTCCTTTACTGCAGGTATTGTGTGTGCTTAATATTGATTCTTACCCCTATGTTTTTTGAAAGATTATATCTTCAATTTGCTGAAGACAAATAAAGAAATTGATAGCTAAGCCTATGTTACGCATTTTCCTGGGGTTAAAATAAGCATCCTCCAATATTCTTTTTTTCCCTGAAGCCTGAAGCATGCTGTCTATTTCAATTCATAATAGTAGAAAACTCAGGTCATAAGATAAATAAATAAGTAAATAAATAAATACATAAAAACCTACGATTTAACTGCTAACGAAACCAATTTAGTTTGTAATATATGATTGAATTTCAGGATTGATTATTGATACCTGTACAGTTTCCTTATACGCCACTGTCCAGTCGCTGACATTTACAAATTACAATTAACGCCCCCCTCCCGCTGAATATGTTAGATTACTGAATTTGTGTGTGGCCTATTTTAATTTTTTTATTATAATCCTTCAACAAACGATTCAAGTGTTATTTGATGGCTTATGTAACAGGAAGACATTATTAAAAGGTGCCGCAGCATGAAAAAGCCAGTCATAGTAGCAACTAATATGCTTGAAAGCATGATTGATCACCCAACTCCTACTAGGGCTGAAGTCTCTGACATTGCAGTTGCAGTACGAGAAGGAGCCGATGCAATAATGCTTTCTGGGGAAACTGCCCATGGAAAGTATGTGTTGACTTCTTTCTGGCTCATGCTTTTGACACACAATTAACTGCATTTCTTGTATCCACAATTTAAAAAGTTAGGAAAGTGGGGGGAAGATGGAGACGAGATCTAGAAGGAAAGAAAACTTGGGGGAAATAAAGACTTTGTTTGAACTCAATGAAGCAATTTTAGATAATTGCTCACACTCTTTTACTTTGTACTAGGTATATTTTTATGTATAAAGACTACGCGATCTAAATATTTGCAAACTTTTTAAAAAATATTTATTCAAATTAGATATTCCTTCGTACTTCCGAAGGTAAAAGGTAAATATTACAAAACAGACTTGCTTTCGCTGTATAGCCTTAACATTCGGTCGACTTTAGCAATTATGACAAAATTCTCAATTTATAACACTGCAAATGACATTGTTCGTTTTGTGGTTTTGTATGCATTGTATGTTATGCATTATGTCTATCATTTAAACATCATATTCGGTGTTTTCACATTTGAGAGATTCATTCTCATTATCAGTCTTTGCTGGTAGCTAAAGAGAATATGAAATGGTGTGTTCAGACTTGCACTTAATCAATTCAGAAGCTTTTATTCCAATTAAGCTAGCAATCCTAGCATGTCTTTTCTGTTCATAATTTGACTTATTTTCTCGCTTTTAGTTAGACTTGTTTTGTTGTTGTGAATAATAGGTATCCCCTGAAAGCTGTAAATGTAATGCATACTGTAGCATTGAGGACTGAATCATCTCTATCAACAAGAACATCTTCTCTACAGCCAGCGGGTTTGCACAAGGTATGCATTAATTATATTTAATTTTCCTAACCATTTTGTAAATTATTCTACATAAAAAATTGAACTTTTTAGCATTTTTTTCTTTCATTGACATTGTGGCACACATGATTCTGTGGATAGAAGGAATTACGGAGAATTGAATGCTTAATCAAACAAGGCTCATACGTACTACATATGGCTATAGCCTATAGAAGTTGCTTTCAATCATTTGTTTGGCATATGTTTGTTTCTGCAGAGCCATATGGGAGAATTGCTTGCTTACCATTCAAGCACAATGGCCAATAAACTTAACACCCCTATCATTGTGTTTACAAGAACTGGCTCAATGGCTGTGACTTTAAGCCATTATCGTCCTCACTCGGCAATCTTTGCTTTCACAAACAAGTAAGCTGCATCTCTTGGAAGAAAAGAATAACATCACATGGAATGCACTTTTTCTTCTTTAATTAATGCTAGTATCATTTTGTTTTGGAACAACAGTCAAAGGTTGAAGCAGAGGCTTGCTCTCTATCAGGGGGTGGTGCCTGTATATATGGAATTCTCAAATGACTCAGAGGAGACCTTTTCTCGAGCGTTGAAGCTTCTATTGGTTAGTAGTGATCTTTCTTGGCTTTTTTTTTTCAGCACTCTGCTTGACGTATAACATTTTATTTTCACTCTTTTCATAGAGTAAGGGCCTACTCACCGAAGGACAGTTTGTGACCCTTGTTCAGAGCGGAGCACAGCCAATTTGGCGTAGAGAATCTACTCATCACATACAAGTTCGGAAAGTCCAAAGCTGATTTTTTTATGAAACTGAACTTTTGAACTGAAGCCGTGGTATCAAATAGTTAGATGGTTATGTCATATTTATGAATCTTTTTTACCCTGTCTTCGTGATATGAACATTGATGGATATTTTTATTTGGACTGAAGGGAGAAAAAATATACTATTATACCCAAATACCCATAAAAATTTTGTCTCCCACCCAGCCACCAATTTTCCAGCATCTGTCATCAAGTGTAGTGATGTTGGCATGTTCATTAACAACATAGAAGACACTGAAAGTTCTGAAAGAGTGCGATCGTGGCCCTGTTCTATGCTAAGGTTTAAAGACCCTTTCCCTAGCAATCCTAGCATCCATCCCAAATGGGCTTCTTGGGACTTGGGAGGCAATCTATGCTTGTTAATGCTCTTTATTATTGTTGGTTACTCTATTAAGTACATCTCTTAAATGTTCTAAAATATTTCTTATATTTTCAGAGTTTATTTGGGATATTAAATTATTCATGATATTTGACGTTGCATGTATCTTTTCTTTTAAAAACATAGATTAAAAACATATTCGTTTGATTATATGGTATTTCTTTCTTGAACAATAAAATCTTTTGAAATAGCATTGTTTTTTGGGACAATAACATTTATCTTTATAGAGGGTTAACAGGTAACTGTGTCATGTCTTTGTAGAGGTGGGCGCGGTTCCACTTCTAGGACTACCCTGGATTGGTTCAGTCGGTTTTTCGCCTAGAGACTAGAGCGCTTTTCTGGGCTGAACTGAATTGGGAACTCGGCCAAATAATGTCCAGTTCTGATTCCTCCAATATATAACTGGACTGGTTCCTGCCTTTTTGTAGGCAAAATACCAGATCACAACCACCCTGGGAACAAGGCCAGAACTGAACTTGATGATTATTCTCGTTAACGGTTCGGATTCCTTGCTTCTCATGACCCGTAACCGGTTAGTGTTGAACCAGAACTGGTTCGGGCCTACCCTTGTGTCCTTGTCACTTTCTCAAATTAGTTGTTGGAATTCTTAGTGTAAAAGTTTGCAATTGCAGGAAGTTAAACAAACCCATAAGGGTAAGTTTTGTGGGAAGGTGTACAATGTCTCTTATTCAGACTGACGGTTCCGTCCATAACAAATATATTGCTGTTTTTTGTACAAGGTAAATAGTTTACCTAAGTTATTATTAAACTCCATGACAATCCTTTTGCTCATCACCACCCTTCTCAAATTTATGAACTCCAAGCCTTGCAGACTTGTACCACTTTGCACACATAATATATGCTACTAAATCTAAGATAGTCAGACCAGCTAGCAAAAAGTAAAACCTGTCTAGATGTCCTCTATTAAGGTTCCCAGGAATCCAACCAGGCATTCTATCCTTAGCCGAAAATTTCATTATCATGCTCACTAGCAGACTGCTAACGTAGTTTCCGAGCGATATTGATGTCATACAGAGTGCGCTCCCGAAACTTTTCAGCCCGTCTGGTGTCTGTTCATTGAAGAACTCGAGCTGCCCGACATACATGAAGACTTCAGAAGCACCAATCAATGCGTACTGAGGGATTTGCCACAGTATGCTCAAGGAGCTCATGCCTTCACAGTCAATGCACTCTTTAATGGCATACTTGAGCCTATAACATTCCACAATCCCAGCAGAAAGCATGGCCATTACTGCTATGACGAGCCCCACTCCCATCCTCTCAAGCTGAGTGATCCCTTTGGATTCACCTCCCAAAGGGCCCCGCTTTAGCCTCCCGATGAGTGGGTCGAGGAGCCTCCGGTATATGAATATGCAAACAGCAACACTGCAGATGTCAAAGCTTGACATGCTTGCTGCGGGGATTCTGAAGTTTGAGATCTTTGTTTCCATGGCATCCCCTTGCTCCACAAAGAGAGAGGCCATTTGGGTGAAAACAACTGAATAGACTATAGTGCATAGCCATATAGGTAACAGCCTCAGAATGCACTTTACCTCCTCAACTTGCGAGATTGGGCAGAGGCGCCATGGATTCTGCTTTTTCTTCTCAACATCCTTTGGTGTTATGACCGCTGCTCGGTCCAAGAATCTATATGGGGAAAAATAAAAAGCGGTTGTTACTTGTTAGTCAAAGCTCTGTTAAGCCACCCAACAACGTCAAAAATATCGAAATGCAAACTTACATTTGAGATAGTGTTTGTTATACGCTTAGGTTGATTCTTAATGCACTCCAAATTTGTAATAAGTTTGATAATAGTTTTTCTTGTTAACATACGAATCACTTTTATACTGATAGAATAAGAATTGAATATTAGACCGGCTCTCGGAGGGAGTACGTTATAAGATCATGTGAAGTGTTATAGCTTTAACCTAGAAATGAAAATGGCAGATAAATTACCTGAAACCTTGGGTGTGCAGCATTATTTTTCTTGAACCATTCTCTGGTGGATCAGCTTCAAATAAATCTTCTTCACTTGGAATTTCTGTTCTCCACTTCTTTAATGCAGCAACAACTACTTGACAAAATCTGGAAAGAGGATTGCCCTTACGCTTGTAGTACCTATACTTTGTCGTCCCGGCGAGAAAGAGCAACAATGCAGTGAAAGCTGAGGCAGTGGACGCCCAAAACCCAAGAGCCCACATTCCTTCATCCTCAAAGTAGTCTAGTATGGTGTTGGAAAACAGGGAACCAAGGTTTAAAGCCAGGTAGAAGTAGCTGAAAAATGCCAGTTTTGAGTGCCTCTCTTTTGGATTCTCATCGTCGAATTGGTCTGCCCCGAATGTGGCTATGTTTGGTTGGTACCCTCCATTCCCGAGAGCCACCAAGTAGATGGAGAGATAGAATAGACCAATCGCCCAGTTCGAATGAAACCCACACCGAGTTTCTTTATCTCCACAACCTTTGGGCTTGAGCAAGTAGAGTTGAGATGTCACAGACAATAAGGCCAATCCCTGTGATAATGTAATGCAATTATCTCAAAGTAGTATTTAAGGTATCATTCATACTACATTACTACTTACTCTATCTTTATGTGTATAGTATATGTAATGAAAGATCATAGTGATAATAATGGGAACTTACAATAACATAGATGATCTGGAATATTGCACAAGTTTTGTACCTTCCCCAGTATGAGTCGCTCAGAAATGCACCAAGGAGAGAAAAGATGTAAACTGTGCCAGTCCATTTGCTTACACTGTTGGCGGCATCCGCATTTTTCTCACCCATCACTCTTGTTAGGAACAAAACTAGGTTTACACCAACACCAAAGAATGCAAGTGTAGCTAGGCCTTGATTCACTGTTAATATAATTCACATGAAGTTAATTAGAAGTTAAGCTCACTTGTCTCGCTTTATTTATTTACTTATTTATATATTATCATGTTTGGTATATTGGAATGTTTATGCTAAACCACATTAATCTACTACGCATGTGATGCTATACCCCTGCATTAAATAAATAAGTTTCTCATTTGACCTACACAAAAATCTCCCTTTGATTTATTTATATGGGGGCTCAACCCCATATTTGTACTTATTGGAAAGTACCCTTCCTGGGATTGCGGCAATCCAAATCACAAAGTATATCCCACCATTTGACTAGTTTTTCAATCTTATTTCCCTATCACGATATTGAAAAGAAATTTCTCAAATAAGAGCATTTTTGCATTGTCATTTGTCATGTTAGCACAGTGACCCACAGTCATCAATGCAACATCATTTACTAGTCATTCCATATAATCTAATCATCTAATTTAGATGTACCACGGGATGTTGACAATATAAGATTCAAACCAGTAGATTAACCTAGTCACTTGTAATCGGGGCGGAGTCAAGGAGGGGTCAGGATGGTCAACCGACCCCTCTCCCACCCTCCGAAATTCAAGAATGTAAAGAGCTCTAAAATACCTTGGTTTGATATATTATGGGTTTCATAACTCATTACGAGTAAAAAGTTATGACTTCTAGAAAATCAGCATCTTCTTAACTTAAAAGAAACAAAATTTGATTTATGGTATTGAGTAATTCTTAAATTTAAAAATAAAACACGTAATTCACTTATTAGTTGTGTGAACTACATTACATATATATTAATGCATTAACTGGAAAAACTCATCAAACTATCATTTATCGCAGCTACATATGCAGGGGCAGAGTGAGAGCATTTTTAAAATTTGGGGTGGGCCATGGCCTAGGTTGGCCCACCCCTAGCTCCGCCCATGTACATATGGAACATTTAACTCAAGTATTGTACGTTTAGTAACGATCCACCATTTTAATATTCTATATAATTACATTTCGATCCTCCCACACATTTTTCGGGCTCCGCCACTGCTTCTAATAAGTTCTCCCAAATATTTGAAGGGTAGCACTTGCTGGATTAATACATATACTGATGTGTAGTAAAGCACATTCCAATTTTATATTTTGCTTGAATTAAATTAGTCTATTATTATAGTATGGAAATTCTTAATTTAATTAATAGAGACACAACCTGCATCCAAGTGGACCAAGTGAGTGCAAAATAAAACGGTGGCGCTGAATAGAAACATCGAACAAGCTGTCTAGGATGACGTGGCTACCTAATTTAAAAGGCGTAGATTACGTGTCAGGCATAAGTTCCTTCCCCTTGCATGCACTCCCTCCTTTACTTACTTTGTGTGTGTTATTTGGGCCCACCTAACTTAAGCATACCGACCCAATCCACTTCTCAATTTATTCACATTTCTATTCCAATTAATATTCCAATTACATTTATAAGATTTGAGTTACAATATTGTCAAGAATATTCCAATTACATTTTATAATGTGTAACTAAGAGTATATTGTTAGCTACTTAATATCCCATTCTTCTTATTACTCATTCGGTATTTTTATACAACCTTTGATTAGCTAATAATAATTTTTTTTTTGAATAAAGCTAATAATAATTAAAAATTGTATATTTACAAATTAAAGAAAAATAATTAAGTTGAAAACAAAATATTGATAAAACGATGCATTTAGAATATAGAAAAAAGTTGTTTTAGAATCAACCTAATAATTTAGGAAATGCCTTATAATTATTGTTGTTATTATTATGATGATGATTGATCATCATCCACAAAAAATATGATGTTGATCATTTTCATCATCATGATTGTTGTTACAACTATATCATTGTTATTAGGATTATTAGCTTATTTTATCCCAAACTGTCATCAAATTCACATATTTATCCTATTCTTTCACTTTCATCTTTTTCAACAATTATGGTTTTCTTCTTTGTTTTTTTCAAAATTACAAATTTTATTAATACCAATAAGATATAAGTAATACAAGTTTGTAAACTTAAAACTAGAAAAAAAGTAAAAAATATAAAATATAAATATGATTTTGTTGTTAAGTTTTACTAATTCATCTATTGAAAGTGTAATTGTGAGAAACATTGAGGTTTGAGTCTTTATTTAATAAAAGCAAAAGTATGGGATAGATTTGTGAATTTGATGATAGTTGAGGATATATTTAACTAATAATCCGTGTTATTACTATTGTTGCTATA